GGGGGCGGGGGGTGTAGTTTTCATCCCTGTACCCGCTTAAAAAAATTTCGTCCATTCCCGATTTACCCCCGCTAATGAATATGGTTTTCATTTCCATCCCCGTCTGCGGGTAAATTTCTAATCCCTGCCCTTGTTCCTGCTCTCCCCGTACCCGCCCAAGCCTAAGCCCAAGCTAACATAATTCAGACGTATGGTCCATCCCCGGTCCAAAAGGGGTAGATTTGGATGAATATCCGTTTTTTCTCCGGTCCACTGTCATCCCTATGCATGTTGTCTATAGGTGTAAGTAAGAAATATAGCTTTGATACCACTGTTAGCAAGAAATGTTATACACGTGTTACCACTTGATGTGCAGAGTCGGATCGAATAAACTTAATTTATGGGCCTCACTTGTATCCTACTGATTGGGAGATTCTTGGATGTTAAAAGGCTTGATAATATGTAGAAAAGAGGGATACCAAAGTCCACACCCACAAACCTAGGAATCCTTCAAGATGGTGAGTCCAAAAGAAAGAAATTTTGGGGGAGATAGAGTGACTAATTTCTTGTATTTTTTTTGGTATCCTTTTCTCACCTATCACTACAACAAAAACTATTTCTACCTAGAAAATTTTTACCTGGGAAAATAATTTGCTAGTTAAAGAAGTTTTATACCGAGGAAAAGATTATTTCGTCGGCAATTAATTGCCCACATTCTAAGTCCCTAAATGAACAAAAAAAATTCCCATAAATTTAGTTTTATCTGCAAAAAAATTTGTAGTTGATAAGAAATTTTGATTTTATATACATATATATAATTTTTTAAAGTTGGGCAACAAACTAATTTTAGTCAGTAAAATGAATTGAAAAAATTAAGAGACTCACCGAGGAAATTGTTTAATTTTTAGGGGTAAAAAGTCCAACAAAATAATATTGTTTAGGGATTAAATTAGAGATTCTTCGATGAACTTATTTTTGGCATTTTTGCACTTTACACTCCGAAAGATGTCTTGACTCCCACTTTGCATCCTGAAAGATTATTTTTTTCACATTATACCATGATTGTCATAAATTGGTTCCAACGTGACACTTAAACTAACATTTGTTTCAAATTCCGTTAAAATTTGATGCACAAGACACCTAAAAATTTGAATGTTGAGTTTATGTTCTTAACGGAATGTCACCATTCATATTTTTGGGTGGTATGTACATCAATTTTTAGTGGAATCTGAAACAGATATTAGTGTGAGGACCACATTAGAACCAATTTATGATATTTAGGGTGCAAAGTGGAAAAAATAATCTTTCGGGGTGTAAAGTGAGAATCGAGACATCTTTCAGTGGGTAAAGTGCAACAATTCCCTTATTTTTTAAGAAAAATGTCCCTACACGAAATTGCTTGAAATCCTTGGCCAGTCTCTCCCATCAAGTCCTAATCCATCTTCTCTTTCATAAAAGCTCCTCAAACCTCAAATCCGAGAAGCTGAAAACTCTCTCCCATGGCAGTACCACCCTTGTCAATGTCCTCAACTCTCTCAATCTATATTTGCTATCTCTCTCACTATTTTAGTACTGAATTTTTCTTTTGTGTTTGAGTTTTAGGGTTCATTGCAAGACAAAGCGAGACTCGTTGAAGTGATCAAGCGAGTTAATGTTGTTAGATCATGATTTATAATTGAATAATTTCGTAACGTCCTTATAAATCCCAAACTATTCCATGGTCATGAAGCAAGAACGATGAAAATTCGAAAGCAATAAAAGGAGGGAAGAATGTGTTTTTCAAGCTATATAAAACAAAGACTCCGCATGCAGCTTCTTGCTTAGGACAATGGTAAATGGCCTTAGAGACCTAAGATGGTCTCTTAATTTAATTCATTAGCTTTAGGATGATTAGTGTTGCAATGGAATGGGTAAATGATCCGAACATGAATCCTAGATGTTTTTCAATGAAAAGATTTTTTAAACTTTAAATGTGTTTTAAAAATATAGATTGAGTCATTATCGGACCCCATTTGACCAACACCCTTTAGTGTTCAAGTGTACTAATTTTTTTGTTTGGTTTAAGGCTTAAATAACTAGTAGGGGGTTGTTCTATGTTCGGTAGCCTTTGCTAGAGTAGTCTCTCAACACATAGGGAATAACGTGGGAAAGGTTGAAGGTAAATAGCAACAAAGACTGCCCTTTGGGCCGCTCGAGAGTCTCATGGTTGCTCCAGCGGTCCAAGTTCCCTTCCCGTTGTTTCAATCCAATTTCATTCCAACACATGCCACCCTCCCACTCCTCAAGTGGTCAAATGCGAATTTCTGAATTCTTGATTTTCAAGATAACCCTAATTCGCTGCCCTATAAATAAAGGGAGTCTTTCTCAACCTAGAGTAAGCCTCTATGAGCTAAAAAGGAACCAAAGCTTTCTAAAGAGCTTCAAGAACAACCCTAGATCCTTAAGTCCAAAAATGCCAACTATCATGATTCTTCCATTCAATCTCACACATTGAAGAAGGAGAACTTGCTTGGTGTCAACCAAAACTCACATTGAAGAAGGAGACCACTCGAGTGACCTTGGGACTGCTCGATCGGCCTTAATGGTGGTCCTTGCTCCTCCATTTGGCCTTTATCCCATTTCTTCGCTAAGTTATAAAAAGAATGCTCTAGCGAAGGCTAGCGAGCATAAGATGGTCCTTGCTGTTTTTTTTAAGCCTTAAAACCAAACAAAAAACTTGTTCTTCTGAGTATTAAAGAGCGTTGCTCAAGAGGGGTCCACTAATAGTTCAAAATATGTGTTTTCAAAAATAGTAAATGATTTTAGAAAATATTTTCATTAAAAAACACCTGGAAGCCATACACAGATTAATCCAATTTCATTTTAACTCTAATCCTCTTAAGTTTATTAAACCAAGGAATCATCTTAAGTCTCCATGTCATTACCATTGTCCTAAGCTTGAAGTTGTATTTGGAGTGCAAATGATGTAACTTTAATACTTGATCTCATTCTTTCAATGACACTTTTGGATCTTCAATCGTTGTAACATCATAACCATGGAATATGTTGAGATTTACAATGTACTCTACAAAATTAGCTAATTGCAAATAATATAATTTGACATGGTTGATTTTGGGTGAAACATGATGAAGGTATGGTTGTTCAA